AATTTTATTTTAGAACTCCACAATCAGAAGTATGAGAGAAAGCGAGGTTATTCTGTCTCTACTCCAAAAAATGCATCTAGAGGAACAGAAAACAAGATAAGTCAATCAGATGGGCCAAGGAAGAAACGAGCGGCAGCAATAAGTGCTGGTAAGAAAGTAAACTCATCCATGTTGTTGTGGTTGTTGTTTTTACATTAAAGGGAATCTTGACTGAAAAGCGTTTAAGCTTCCAAAGTGCACCTAATGGTTCTCTTTAACTCATCCCATCCAGGGCTTTAAGTTAATTTCTCCGTAATTGTTTTGAATCCAAAATGTTTAGTGTTCAGTTAAATCACCTGAGGGTTGCCATGTTTACTTTGTGGTAAATTATGACGTCATTGCACTGTGAAAGTTCTCAATATGGAGTCCACAGAAGAAGATAATTTCTCATTAGGAGGACTTCTGTATATCTAGATTCCTGCAATGCTGTATTTTAAGAATGTCAATCCATGCAATAGTTTACAGTAACTGCAGAATTTCTCGTGCACTCATTGGCTAATTTTCATTGTCAATAGGCGGACAGACACATGAATTTATAATTTATGCAAGCGTCAACAAGCGAGAGCAGGCAATTTAACAATTTGTGATCGTAAAAAAGAATTCACGTCAGTTTTTTATGCGTCTGTCCTGTTATTGACAATGAATTTCGTCATAACTTTGTCAAAGTAGTCTGCGGATCCACCCAGCTATCACCTTGTGGATCCACAGCCACTTTGACAATGTTATGACAAAATTCATGATCAACAACAGGACAGATGAATGAAAAACTGGTGTCAATTTGTTCAATGTCATAATTTCCCATCAGGCTAAGCAAAGATAAACATGGCAATGCCTGGGAGATTTGAAACTCTAAAATACCAGAAGCAAAACAACCGGCATTCCAAACAGGCAAAGATTTATCAACTACAAATTGAGGAAATAAATTAACATGAACACCAACTTTTGATTTGAAACAAAACTGTTTTTAAGCCAAAATTTCCTTTAATGTGATTGTGTATAACAGCAGGCTGTGTTATATTTGGCGTATTTTTATCATTTGATAAATGGCATGTTGCTTGTTCCATAGACCCTGAATTTTTTTTTCTCTGGGTGCTCTATAAACTAAGTTGCTCTTAGTTTTCTGAAAACCACTGGTAGGCACGTAGAAGCAAAGGATTCTGTTGATGGTTTGCTGTGTACCAAAACTGCTTCATGGTATCATAATCCTAATGTTTGTCTAAAATATATTTTTTGATGCTTTACCAGCTGCCCAGCTTCAGAAGCGTGCACGCAGTTTGTCGCTTCCAACTGTGGTGTCATCACCTTCCACTCCAACATCTGCTCCCAGTCCTACCCCAGGTTTTACGCAGTCTATGCCACCATCCACCCTTAATTCCTTGTTGAAGAAGAAGAAAGGGAACAATGCATTTGACATCAACAACATTGTGATTCCATACTCAATGGCCTCTGCCACAAGAGTTGAAAAACTGCAGTACAAGGAGATCCCAACTCCAAGCTGGCGAGTGAATGATGTAGCTGATGATGATGAAACTAAGATGGAGGTATGCTTGACTTGCTTTGATAACAAGGGTCCAACACACCAAGGAAATGTCTCATAGTTAATGTTGGCTTCCTTGTGCTCTTCTCTCTGCTACTAACAAGATTATGATCAGGCAATACCCAGTGTGTAAAGACAATCATGTCAGATAGCTGGTGGGACTAGTTGATTTGGTCCTTCCCTTCTTGCCTGATGCACAAGTGAAGCTTTTTGAGGCAGAAATTACGCAAAATTAAAGGATCTCAGTCACAGTAGTTTGAGTTATTTTATTATAGTTATTTTTTATTTTATTTTGGCCATGTACAAAATGATCGTTAATTGAAGGAAACCTGAAAATAGCAGTTAAGTAAGAAAGAAAAACACTAAAGTGATAATAAAAAACCATAAGGAAACAAGGNTTGTGATTCCATACTCAATGGCCTCTGCCACAAGAGTTGAAAAACTGCAGTACAAGGAGATCCCAACTCCGAGCTGGCGAGTGAACGATGTAGCTGATGATGATGAAACTAAGATGGAGGTATGCTTGACTTGCTTTGATAATGAGGGTCCAACACACCAAGGAAATGTCTCATAGTTAATGTTCGCTTCCTTGTGCTCTTCTCTCTGCTACTAACAAGATTATGATCAGCCAATACCCAGTGTGTAAAGACAATCATGTCAGGTAGCTGGTGGGACTAGTTGATTCGGTCCTTCCCTTCTTACCTGATGCACAAGTGAAGTTTTTTGAGGTAGAAATTATGGAAAATTAAAGGATCTCAGTCACAGTAGTTTGAGTTATTTTGGCCATTTACAAAATGATCTTTAATTGAAGGAAACCTGAAAATAGCAGTTAGGTAAGAAAGAAAAGCACTTAAGTGATAATAAAAAACCATAAGGAAACAAGGATGGAGAAGGCTAACATGGATTGCAAATGACAAACTTGAAAAATTTAGGCTAAACTATTCAAAGACATGTAAACCGTGATGTAGTAGAAGAAGGGTTAAGCCCGATTACCAGCGAATATTTGACACTTTTAAGAGCAGTTTGAGCCTTATATCTAATTTAAACCGTGATGTAGCTTGTTTAAAAACACACTAGTATTGTGAGAGGTCAATTTTTTTNGTGTAAAGACAATCATGTCAGATAGCTGGTGGGACTAGTTGATTTGGTCCTTCCCTTCTTGCCTGATGCACAAGTGAAGCTTTTTGAGGCAGAAATTACGCAAAATTAAAGGATCTCAGTCACAGTAGTTTGAGTTATTTTATTATAGTTATTTTTTATTTTATTTTGGCCATGTACAAAATGATCGTTAATTGAAGGAAACCTGAAAATAGCAGTTAAGTAAGAAAGAAAAACACTAAAGTGATAATAAAAAACCATAAGGAAACAAGGATAGTCAAGGATGGTCAAGGATGGAGAAGGTTAACATGCATTGCAAATGCTAAACTATTCAAGACATGTAAACCGTGATGTAGTAGAGGAAGAAGAAGGGCTAAGCCCGATTACCAGCGAATATTTGACACTTTTAAGAGCAGTTTGAGCCTTATATCTAATTTAAACCGTGATGTAGCTTGTTTAAAAACACACTAGTATTGTGAGAGGTCAATTTTTTTTTTTAATGTAATTTTTTTTCTCGGGTTAGTGAAAATGACCGTCAGGCTAGCAAATCCTGGTTAAAACTTCCTCTTTGGCAAGCTCAAAAACTGATTTTGTGTGCACCCTGATATCCCTAATTTCCGTGATCATTGCTCGCCATTGATTAACCTTACACTGATCTTTACAAGTTGTATGAAATACAAAACAGAAAAATATCTTCAAGCTTCACTTATTCATGCAAGCACCCCCTGAGTTATAGTTAAGGAATTTTCCAATGTGCCACAAGGTATTGATGTACATGTAAAAAGATGTAAACAGAAACGGGAAGATGGGAAAACACCCAGAGAGTATTTCCGGTTGAAACAAAAAAGTGTGTGGTCTTTGAAATACCGGATTCTTTCTATAAACGCAGCCTGAAATACTTAGCTCTTGTCAATGGTAGCCCACCTGTCACTTTGGTGATTTCAAATTTTCTAAAAATTTTACTCCAAAACACGTGAGTGTTTTGTTTAATGCGTTGTAAAGCACATGTTTAAACAGTCTTTGTCTTGTTGGACAGGAGGACCAGACTGAAAAGGACAGTGAGGAGGACACGTCAGACGAGGTGTACATCTCAAGACACGGATTCTGTGAGGAGCATGAACGCAAACGATTCCTGGGACTGGTAAAAAAGAAGAGAAAGCGAACCTCGCGACAAAGCAGTGAAATGAGCCTTCCAGATCCACCATCTCCACTGGGTTATACGGACAGTCAAGGAGGCACCCCGCCTGGGACTCCTACGTGTAATACACCTTTGCCGACACCAACTGGGAACTCGGTACCAGCTACAATCTCTGTTCCTTCTGCTTTTCCTCCCCCTCCTTCAGCTTCTTTGTCCCCGTCTGGGACTCTCACACCCACCTCAGCAATGCCGCCATCCATGGAGAGATTTCATCGCTCATTTTCAGACTCTAAACTTTTGCATCGAAGGTCGTCTTCAACTGACAGGTCAGAAAAATCAGTGAATGATGAGGAACTCTGGCCACCGGTACCTCCATGGCCAGAGAGGACATTTCCATTATCAGAATCGGATGTCTCTTCACTCAAACTTCCTACTCCTCTGCCCACACCAGCTTCTTCTGTACCCGCTTCCCCTTCAGCGTCGTCGCCTGGTAGCCCTATGTGTTCACCTTTAGCAAGTCCGGCCTCTGATGCAAGCAGCGAAAAGAATGAATGGACAGTCAAACTTGTTACGGACCAGGGACCAGGCTCAGGTGGCGACTCAGGAGGAGCGCCAAGAAAAGGAATTGTGTTAAAACTAGCAAAAAGATAATAGGGAAAAATATGTAAAGGGTATTAACACATCGGTTGTCCAGGCAAACAGCTGCCTTCATATATCAAGAAAGGGCTTTGATAACACTTGTATATGATATATCTGGGTTAGTTATGGCGTTTTTACATGTGAGAAAAAAGTAGAAGCGTGCTTTTCGTTGTAGTGTTATTAGTAGGGTCATTTTGTGTTGCCCTTTCTTGATTGAGGACTAGTTTGTTGTCTGTGACTCCTGTTAGGAGTATGTTAGAAGTTCATGGCTTGATTTGAGATACCACCCAAAGTATTAATGATTGAAACAACCGAAAAAAAAAGAACGAAATTTGTCCGAGTATAATGCATGTACTTTATACGTAAGCATTCTTTCGTTGAGAGAGAATTTTTCTCACTAGTCATGTTTGTATATAGCCCGCATATTTCCGCTCGAGTAACACTTGTATTTTATGAGTTTTAAACATCGTGTACATTGACATAAACATAGATTTGTAGAGGTTTGGTTACGACAAAAATGGCAACTTTGTGAATAAACTGATTTATATTATACGCTGTTGTTGTGTTTCCTCATTTTGGCATTGGTGGAACACTTGGTGCTAATGAGTAGTTTCCTAACTTAGTTATGGGAGTTTACATTGCTCGGCCAGTAAAAGAATAATAAAGCAAAACATTGCTGAAACGATTCTAAACGGGATAGAAAGACCAGGAAACAAAAACCTACACAATATTATGGAAGATTGACTACAATCTTGTTCACCCGAGTATCCACTTTCTAAGCGGTGTCTCAAATTATTTCAATACTCTCAAGTTTTCACCTTGGCAGCTTTATCATTAATTATCATATCTTGGTCAATTTATTTATTTTATATTTGAGTGATAAATGTCGCAGGAGGTGGAGAGCCTCAATAGACAAAGCATAACCTGTTTAGCAGGGTGAAGTCTCGTTTGTTTTATGGTCTTGGGTACCCGAGACAACCCTCCCCCTGAAGCAACTTTGTCGAGCGTCTATATATGAAACGTCGTCTCTGTAACTGAGGAAGAGCTGACCCCGCATGATCATTCATAACCCTTTATTGAATAATCAAATGTGCAAATATCCCTCTTTCTTTGTGGTTTCCTCGGTCATTAGATCAAAGTAAGTGGGTTTTGCGGAGTTAATTTTCACTTCTTTGACACGAATTTCTGCTTTAAATCCTAAATCTATCATTTGGTGACACTCGCCAAGCCAAGAATTGTCTCGGTTTGGTGAGCCAAATTGTTTATATGAAGAAACATCGTCTCGCCTGCCAGGGTTACCCCACCTGCCGAGGCAATACAACTCGCCCACCCGAGTTGTCTCGCCCCCGAGACGGATTCGCGATCCTCTTGTAAACGGTCGGTTGAAGTCTTCAAAGAAATAAGAAAAAAGTTACCTCGGTTAGGGTAACTTGGAGGGAGATTTCTCGGATAACCGAGACCATATAATTGGGGCGTCAGACAGATCGCGACAGGAAATGAGTGGTGCAGGAATTATCTGATAATTATAAATGAACGGGGTAACGGGCCAACTCCTACCGCCTGGGGGTGGGTGGACAACATAACACCGGTCCAGTCGGTGATGACGACGGAAAGGCTTATGTGGAGGAAAATAAACCAGGAAATATCAACTTTTGGCCTGTTGATGAGCTGAGTTGACTACAAATGTGCCCTTGATTTTTTCTGATTGCCAGCAATCAAACTTTACCTGATATGGCAGGTTGAAAAACAAGCAAGGTCGATCTTTTCCGGGTAGTCTGAGAATTTTCGATCAAGTGAATCGGCGAGAGCATTAAAAAAAATTGAAAAAAGAATAATAGGAAGCCCGGGGAATTCTAAAACAAAACCGAGGGGTTGTTTTCCATAAAGCTCAATTTTTTTTTTTCTAATAACCTCACTGAAGATGTTGAGAGCGAAACACGCTTAGGGCGAGTAAAAAAAGCGTGATTCAAAACCGTTCCAAGATTGCAGTCTAAATTCTCATCGCTGTTTTTCATGGCTACAATTTTAACTTGGAGAATTTGGCTTCTGAATCTGACTTTTTCACAGTTAATGATTAAAGGCTTAAAATTCTTAACTTGAGTTGATTATAAAGGTAATTAGGGAAGCTAATCACTATTCCAACCGCTGGAGATTAAATGGCTTTGTAACAATGCAGTTTAATGGCTTTTAATGCACTCCAACGGTTTTTTCAGACTATAAGAGGGTTTTTCTTGAAGTTCGTAACATGCTTGGAAGTACATGTAGATTTACAAGACGGTTTTGAAACGACCAAATGAGAGTTAAACAGAGTCAATACTGTTTACCCTTTACATGACATGATTTTCTTTCTTTCACTGAAATTATAATTGCCTGATTCTGAAATTTCTTGATATGTTGTGTTAGAGAATCCAGCTGTTTAATTCTACATGCGCGCTTGTCACATTGTGTTTCTTCAGTATATAATTTTAATCCCATTTATCAAAAGAATGATTAGCCGTGCCTGTAATCTTACTTTTTGTAGTTCAGTATTCCTTTATTCCTCGCGCAACGTAGAATATTTCGTTTTGCGCGAAAATGACCGGTTAAAACAGTTATGACTGGGGCGATTAAAACCTTCCTTCCACTTGAATCCGCACTGCAATACAGAACAGCTGTCGCGTCCAGGCAGCGACTACTGAAAAAAAATTTGTTCAAGCTGAATTATTAAAAAATCGACACGTAAACCTCATTCTGAAAGTATCACTCCTTTAAATCGCGCCTCTGAACAACGTAGGGTAATTTTATTCACCTACAGAAGGCAAATAACGTGCGTTCTTTTCACTGGTTGAATCGCGGTTATTTTTCTTACAAAACAAACACACCTGTGATTTGTGCTTTTTCCGTTACTAAAAGACTTCAACAACAATATAGCGCTATTCACAAGAAATCCATTAATGTCGGAGAGAATGGAGGTTAACATGCTCAGAGAGATATTAGTGGTTTTAGCTTATTTTCTGTGCTATATTCAATTTGCGGTCAGCGCCCGAAACAGCGAAGGGGAACCGGATGAAGATGGCGCAAAATCGAGTGGTCGAAAAATTCTGGTCTTCGGTGGGAACGGTTTTATTGGAAGCGAAACCGTACGAAGACTCCTGGATAAAGGAGACGAGATTACCATCGTGAACCGAGGGAATTGGTACTTCGATTCAAGCGAGCGCATCAAACCGTTTGTAAAAGCGCATTTTCTATGCGATAGAGACAAACTGCTCAAAGTTGACTGCGAGGAGCTTTTAACATCCGGGTACTACGACGCTGTGATCGATTTCAGCTCGTACAATGCGAGGCAGATAAAACAGGTGGTCGACATATTACATGGTCGAGTTGGTGTTTATATCTACATCAGCACCGATTCAATTTACGAGGTCTGCGAGAAAAAGCATTCTGGACTTAGCACTGAAGAAGACGCAGTCCGACCAAAGAGCCCGAAGAAGCGCCTGGAACTTAAGAGAGAGGAAAAATACGCGCATGATAAACTTGCTTGTGAAGAGGTACTCGAACAGGAGAGGAAATCTGGTGGATTCCCGTACGTAGCTTTAAGACTCCCGGATGTAATCGGACCACGTGACAGTTCCTTCCGCTTTTGGACCTATCATCTGTGGATACGCATCCACAAGGCCATTCAACATCCGGTACATATGCCCAGCGGTGTATCAGATGTGAAGTTTAGTCTTATACACGTAGAGGACGCGGCAAAAGCCATCGAGAAGGTCTTGGATGTTGGTCCCGCGGCTCACAACCAAGCTATCAACCTGGCGTTCAGCGAACAATTCACTCTAAAAAAGCTCCTCCGAGATATCGCCGATAAACTGAACGTGGACGAGCTCGAGTTTATTTCGGATGACGATTCCACGTGGTATTCCTATCCCACGGTTACAAAAGGTCCTCTTGATATCAACAAGGCCAAAATTCTTCTTGGCTGGGAGCCCATGACCTGGGAGAGCGCACTCGATTCACTTTCCTCTTTTTTGGAGGGTGCCATGACTGAAGAAAAATTTGTCAGAGAGAGAGAAATGCTATTGGCTGACTTCTTTGAGAGCATTGTTCCTGAAGAACATTACCCAACCGCGCTAAAGAAGCTGATTGAAATGTACGGAAATGACGTAATGGAAGGAATAGCGTTGGACATAGGCTTCGATACAGCCCCTGAAATCGAGGGCCCGAGTGATGTTCAAAATTCCAGCGCTGCGCATGAACAAAAGTCAGCGGAGACGCGATCGGAGGCTAAGGCAGCAGAGAAGAGCGATAGAGAAAGTGTCGAGGAATTGGTGACGGAAGTTGATTCTGAAAACGAAGCTAGTGAATCAATTCCAAATTTAGAAGGAAAGAAGAAAGACAAGCACTTGGATGAACTGTGAATTATTTTAGATAAGACACTTGCAAACACTCTTTTTCCTTGGCCATCGTAGCTTTAGAAGAAACAAAACACAAACCGCGGTGATAAACATGGAACCAAAACGCATGTTAAACAAAGTTAATNGTTTATCACCGCGGTTTGTGTTTTGTTTCTTCTAAAGACACTTGCACTTTGAGAATTTTAGTCCACTTCAGCAGTGAAATATTAAGCAAAAAATTTTGTTTTATTGTCTTAGTTTTCTTGAAAGCGAAAATTAATTGTAAAATAAAAAATTGCAATCTGACCAATCAGATAATTAGTAGTATGTTTGATAATTTTCATTCGTTAACTTGGGATCACAAAGCAGCCAGTCGGATAGAACTGGTCAAAAACATATTTTACGAGAGCTACATACATATCCTCCGGAGAACACTTCGTAGAAAATCAATTCATGGGTATAAAAGTAATTATATTACTAACTACATGTACTTATTAACCGGGAGTGAGGTCTTAACGGGAAAATCTCAAACCAAGACCTTGCCGTATTGACCGAGCGATAGCGAGGTTAATACGGGAAAGTCGAGAAATGAGATTTAGCCGTAAAAACCTCACTCTCGGTTGATAAGTAGGTATTAGATACTTTATAACCCGCTTCGCAGGAGTAAACGGGGAAGGGACAGTAGGACAGGCAAAAATACGCGGGGAAGAAGGGGAAGTTCCTCCCCTCTCTCACTCTCCCCCTATCCCCTCCTCCCTACCCCGCTATCCCTTCGTGTCTCTCCCGTTTTACGCCTGCTATAGAGGCTAGGTATTTATCGGTACCATGTTTTTCAAGATTTAAAGTTAACGTCGTTCTCAAGTCTGTGAGGGCTTTTCCAAACTTTCACGGCTATACCCCAGAATAGCCTGCGTCCCAGACAGTCTAAACCGCCGGTATACCGGCGGACTATACCGGGGATTTTGTGACACTTCCGGCTCCAACGCAAGCTAACCCCAGAACGATCTAGCGACAGTCAAGATGATAGGCAGGATATTTTTCTATCGAGTTTTAGTATAAATCTATATCACGAATGCCGTTCTCTGATTGGCTACGCTACTCACTATCTATTCTGTGATAGATGGTGAGTAGCGTAGCAGTGTACCCTTGTTAACAAAACTACGGCCGCTTCTTGGCGTTTTCGAATCGAAGTGTCTGTGAAGGGGATTAAGATAAAGTTTTGAACGACTAAATTAATTAGATTATTCGCTCTCGCCGAGAGTGAATAATCTAATTAATTTAGTATAAATCTACTAGTCGTTCAAAACTTTATCTTAATCCTCTCCTAAGGAACACACAGGCTAAAACAGATCGACAGATTTAAGTAGAACTTTTCAAAGCACAAAAAAGATCAAACCGAAGGAAAATAATAAAAACACGTAAAACTATTTAGCCTGCAAGCAAACAACACTGTGAAGCAATGGAAATTTTATCTGCGCTCGGGCTTAAAGTTGTTCCCTACTGAATTTTGGAATTGCCTTTTACTTGCCGTCAGGTTTGATAATCGAATTAGTGTTGCATTCAGCAAAGCGCTACAAAATTAAGGCTGTTGAAAAATATGTGCTCCGACTTAAGGCGAATTTTATGCATTTCTCTTAGTCTCGCAGCGCTAATTGTTCAGGATAATTAATGTTTTAAGGTGTTGTTTCTTTCTAATGAACCGCGGAATTTATTCGGATGCAGGGTCCATGACGAACTCTGTAGTCGGGAAATTGCTTAAAATTTTGTTGTACACTCAGGCTTTCGTATCCCCTGATGTGCTTGTAGCTGCAGAAGCGTGCTTTTTGAGATTACCATCGAATAGAATCTGAGATTTTTGATTGATGTGAAAATCGAAAAATCTTTTTCACTCTATGGTATGAAAAGAATTACGCCTCCTGCATGATCAGATCGCTCCAAGTCACCTCAGTCACTTCGCTCCAATCGAAAGTTAGATCGCTCCATACAAAAGTGACCTCACACCGTGTAAGAAGTTAGTGAAATATTGGCGGGAACCTTTTTGTTCTATGATATGAGGTCACTAAACAAATAGTTAACATTGCAGACATAGAGATGTGTTGCTTTAATTATTAAAAGGTCGAATTATATAGATGCTGAGGTTTAAATTTGTTTTGATGACAAAATGCCGCTAAACCGTTAAAGCGGTTAAAGAAGGTACTGAAGCGTTGTAAGACTTGTAAACCTTGGGTGCCCTAAAACGTTAAGGAACTTTAAGATAGAATCGAAAGGAACTTTTACAATAATTGCCTAATTTCTCGCGCTGATTGGCTCATTTTAATCATCAATAAGAGTACAGACGGAATGAAATCATAATTTATGCAAGCTTTCAAGTTCAACTTTCAGCCCGTCAAACTGTCAACTTTTTAACCAATGAGATTTTGTGGCGGCGAGTGGTTCCGCAGTAAACTTTGACAAGGTTATAACGAAATTTATCATTAATAAGAGGACAGACGCACAAAAAACTGACGTCAATTTGTTAAATATAAGTATTATCCGAAGTGCTCTTGTTATTTGTAGGGTGAGTGCTGATTCTTACTGGGGGTGATTCATCGCTGTCTCCATCTTTTCCCTGTTAACTACAAAACGAAGAAAATATGGTAATCTCAATTCGTTGTCTTTATCTTTTCTGATTGAAGACGAAAATCTCACTAAGACGCAAAATACTTTCGCATCTTCCAAGTGCAGCACCCAAGCGAGGCTTGCCCCAGAACTCCAAGCGATCGCTATGAGTATCCCAGATTGCACTGCAGTGTCCCTCCTCGCCGTCCATCTTGGAAAGTAGAACGGAGCGTGGCGTTATATCATCAGAGAAGTTATCATAAAAGATGTTTTCTTGCAGTAAATTTACCTCCCCAGTCGCTAGGAGTATTGTAAGTGTAAGTTGTTTAAAGTTTCGTTAGAGTTCTAGCCTACGTTAATCGAATTGCTTTGATATTTGTAGGTTGGCAATGGTCGCGCACTATCTCGGCCGCTTTCTACCGCCATTCGTCCCCAGTCACAAACTTTGGCAATGGTATGTACTCCGAAGGGTGGAGGAAGTGAGACCAAATACCTATAAAATACGAAAGAGATATTTATTTTTGTCTGGGATTGTAATTTAGGCGTACTTTGAGCGGGTTTGTCACAAAACTTTTGGACCGGCGTCGGCTTGTGCAACTTGAGATAGGGTTGCACGTGTCATTAGAGATTTCTTCGTAGTAAAATTTAGAGACGGTAAATGTTAAACTAGGCATGAGGCACAGTTTAGAAAGTGGGCTTTGCGAAAGGTTATTAAACTGCTCGATCGCTTCGTTTTTGAATGGATCCACGATTGGAATTAGCAGTTTGAAGTATTGGGGGGTGGGTTCATAGAGATTTCAATATACATTTGTACTAAACTATACATCCAATATACGATGCTGATTATTAATGTAGAATTCTTAAATTCCCGTTGAGCGAAGTCAAAACTGCATATCAGTTGAATGAACGAAAGACCCTATCTTAGGGGAAATCTTGATTCAGTTGAAATTCCTCCAGTGGAAATGTTGGAAATTTGGATAAATCATCGATGAGAATTTCTTTTTTGACATTGAGACAAAGTAGTAGTAACTTGTGTTTAATTTTTAGTTGTTCTGTATTTAATACATGTGATTAACCTTTTTTTTTCATTGTTACTTCAGAATGTTCAGTCAGCACAAAAGTAAGTGTAGTTTGAAGTATGTGTTTGTTGATGTTTTAGTTAAGGGAATGATGTTTATGAAAAGTGCTGCTTGGATTTTGTATGGTTTAGAATTAGCATGGAGTAGTGGGAAAAAGTGTACACACCCAGTTCAAACCAAATTGTGTTTTGAAATGACATATGCAACACATCTTGCACTGTTATTTTCTCTCTGTTGGAAATTCTCTTCTACATGAATTCTTTCCAGTGAACTGTAATACAAAGCTTGCACTAGGAAACTTATTGACAGTGCAAATAAGTTATTTTTATTATAACCTCGGAAATTCTTGCAGGCTCATTGGGTAATTTTTATTGTCAAAAAGTGGACAGACACATGAATTTTTATCTCACGTTTTGTCTTAATGTAGTTGCTTCTGCCTTTTTGATATTGTGAAAAACAAATTGATGTCAGTTTTTCTTGCATCTGTCCAGTTACTGACGATGCATTTCATCATGACATGTCAAAGTAGTCTGTGAATCCACTCACCTTTCATCTTGTGGATCCACAGCTACTTTGCATTGTTATGGCAAAATTTATTGCCAATAGCAGGACAGATGCATGAATAACTGATGTCAATTTGTTAATCTTGATTCATAAAAACATTTGTAAGATTTTGTTTATTTTGCATCACTTGCATTGCTAAGCTTATGTGACTTGAGTAGCAATACTTGCAATGCATTACATTCTCAACATCATTTTATTTATGTTTGAGTTTTGAGGGTGGATGGGTTACAAACATAACATGGCCATTTCTTTATATTCAAGGAGCTACATCACGGTTTGCTCATATTGAAAAGTTTAGCCTCAATTTTTCAAATTTGTCGTTTGTAATCCCTGTTAATAATCTCCATCCTTAGCCATCCTTTATGGTTTATCATTATCTCTTTGGTGTTTTTCTATCTTATTAAACTGTTATTTTCAGGTTTCCTTCAATTTAAAGGTTATTTTGTATGTGGCCAAAATAACTCAAAATACTGTGACTGAGCTCCTTAAACTACTTTGATTGTATATGAAATAAGCTAATTTTAAGATTATTGAAGTTGTGTGGATTGTTGCGGTAGAAGTTAACATTTTTATATGTCCTACTTTTAAGTGAATTGTTCCTTTTTGTAACACTGTAATCTATTTACAGGAATATGTTTAACCTGTCCCGTGCTGTTGTATCAAGTCAATTCTCTAGTAAGTATAGAATAGCTAAGTAAATGTTGTAGTAAATTTTTCCATATGGTGAAGCACTATATTTCAGATGCAAAACGAATTTGCTTTGTTAACTTCTCTCATTATTTGTTCTAACCCTCCTGTTTTCATTTTCAGGTATCCAAAAAGATAACTTGCAAAGCAAGGTGAGTTGCAGGTTATTTTCTCAGCAGCATGGTCCTGGAATGAAATCAAAGTACTTGACAAATTAACAGCCTGATTATGTGCATACTAGCAAAAATGTCCCAAGGCCATTGTGCTTTTAATGAGGAGGTTATAAAGAGAGGTGCATTCATAGAGAAAGGGAAGCTTGAAAGAGTTGCAATGTTAATCTTTGGAGAATTTCCAGAAATCGTGGGTTAATTAATGTCCTCAATTTCTGACATATTTTTTATTTAAATAGTGTGGTTGTTACAAAGGTTTTGCAGGGAATTTGGTTAACATTTCGCTTAAAAAATAATTGTATTGGTATTAAAAATAAGCAAGGCCATGTTACATTCCTAAGGTTTATTTACTGGTATCTTAAAATCAGGAGAGGGAAAAAAGACTATTTTTCATTAATTTTTTCATCATTTCCAGCGGTCACTTTGATTAATCTTTGAAAATGAAGTAATTGTTGTCTCTTTATTTGTGATAGGCTGTAGTACCATCCTCTCCCTTGTTAGCTCTGGCCTGCCGAGGCTTTCAGACAAGTTCTCAGGTGCAGGATGTTGATTCTGCTGCTAAGTTCATCGGTGCTGGTGCAGCTACTGTAGGTGTTGCAGGTCAGTTGATTTCCTTATACTTTTAAGTTCTCCATAAGTACTAGTAACCATCTTTTAGTCTTTTGCCTAGCAGGCTAGTACTGCTAGTCATACCAGCTTTCCTTGTGATCAACATGATACTTCAATGTAAGAAAATGCACACAAAAAATCATGACATTTTTACTAGTTTGTTTTCCCATATTTATTGTTTTTTATTTCCCCAAGCTGGGGTTGCTGGGATTTAAAATGGTCATGGCCAGGAACTATAAATTTTGTCCATGTACTTGAAATTTTAAGCAAACCCCAATGGTTTTGCTTTTCAAAGAAATAGTATTTATCAGTTATACCCAATTCTTACCTGTAAGTGATTGGTGAACTTGTTTAGAACAAGCTCAAGGAATAAATTTTTTTCCAGGCTCATGTGTTTGGATTTGTATATATTTGGACAATGCCTAAGCAAGTACAAGTACTAGAGAATCAGTCACTTGCTGAAAAGAACTTCAGTGCACATTTCATTTACTTTTTCTCGTGTTGTGTGTGAAAATTTGCTTGTGTTTGCTTTTGTATTTGCTGTGAGTGTGAGCCATACTTTCTTGTTAGCATCGCATTCTGGTCTGATTTTAATTTGTGACTGACAATCATGTTTCCTTACACTACAGGTAGTGGAGCTGGTATTGGTACAGTGTTTGGCAGTTTGATCATTGGTTATGCCAGGAATCCATCCCTCAAGCAGCAGCTTTTCTCGTATGCTATTCTAGGCTTTGCTCTGTCTGAAGCTATGGGTCTTTTCTGTTTGATGATGGCCTTTTTAATCCTGTTTGCCCTGTAAACTGTATTCCTGATCAACATGCGATCAATTCATGCCATTAATTTTAGTAGATGGCTTTGTGGAAGGGCTGTTGTGTGCTTGTGCTAATTTTATTTTGTGAACAAATAACTGTGATGGTCTCAAATAAAGTACCTTGTGTAACATTTTGTACACACTTTATTTTGTTGTTTCCAGATGTTAAATCAAGCAGGGCCAATGATACAAAATCACTAATTCGTGTCTTTTTCAAATGTTAGATAATGCTGTCCACTGGATAGATCAACTTCTACTTGATAGTGATCATTTGGTGGTTAGCATTTCCTTCCTTGAACAACTGCAGATTAAATTTGCTCTTATGTAATATTTGTTGTTAGTTTCTTGTAAAGTACTGCCTTTCATCTCCTTTTTCCCCTGCTTCGGCAAGGGCTCCTTTTAAGCGGCCCCTCAAGTATAAGAATAATTATTATTATGAACAAGCCACCTCGTCCTCCCTCTATCAACCCAGCCCTGAAGCCAGTTTGATTGTGAATTGGGAGTTATGAACCATGTGCTGTCTGTAAGGATGACCATAGTTATTATTTTACAATGCTAACTTTTTGGCTCCCTACTTTGTTTAGAGGAATTATGCCAACCTTGAGCAGGCGCTGATACTTCTCTGAGCTTGGCTAGGCAAGATGCTTCACACATATCTTTTTAGGGGGAGGGAGGTAGGGGAGTCCTAATTATACAAGTGCTCTTGCAAAAACAGCAACAGGATAAATTTACCTTGGCTCATGATCCTAGTCCGCACATGCGAACATGGACTTTTTTTTCATTCTCTACTGAAGAGGAATTTGGCTCATGTCAAATTATCTGGTGTCTGATCAGTTGTA